CAGTCAAACGCTCTTTGAAACCTAGTTATCAGTTCGTCAGCAAACTTTATTATTCTGAATTCAGTGAACCAAATGTTTTCATATTGCCGTAAAGGTCTTCTCCGCGCCTGGCATACTCGGCTTTAAGATAACCATATGACGTAGAGGTGTTATACCAACGTTAAACGACCGTTCTGCCATGACCTATAGTGATGGCCGGCCAACGTGTATCAAATCACAATAACATGCTTCTGATTGAGTCAGCCGATTTAACCGATACAAAGCATACCTGCGTTTACTCTGCCAGTGGTCTTGGGTCACATGGAACATCCCCACTGACACATGGCCACACAAACCATCAATCTGTCATGTCAAAGACATCCCCGAGTTTTCGTTCAATCAATAGTTTCCAATGGTGATTCCAGGACAGAGTTCCAAGTTCCATGTTTGTTGTCAGAGCTGCATGAAATGGGGATCTGTAATGATGTAATGCCTTGCTGATTGTGTGTCGTTTAACCTAGATATCCTATAACTTCACTAATTCAATCAATAACCGATATTCAGTGATTGTACCAGAGATAATCGGTACATGTTGATGCTGCATTTCTGAAGGGTCGTGTCTGACCCCACCAGTATGGAAACCGTGACTGCTATAGATAAGGGAAAATATTCCCGAGAATATGGAGTGAACTTATATATGAAGAATATACATGTATTTACGACATTTGAAAAGGTACTTATCGGGGTGGAGCGGTGCTCATGCTATCAACCACCGGCCTGCCTGTTCCATATATACGTACATACCGCAGTGATGTGGATGGGGTTCTATGTATGGAAGGGCGTTCATTTAGGCCATAAACGTAATTGATTTGTTTCCGAGAGGGGCGGAGGGGAAGCCTAGTGATAAAAGAGTTCGCTCGCCACGCCGAAGACCTGGGATCGAATCCCAACATGGGTACAACGTATGGAGCCCATTTCTGGTGTCCCCCGCTCTGCTATTGCTGGAATAGTGCTAAAAGCGGCGTAAAACCATACTCACTCACTCTATGTATGAAACACTGAACCCTGTGTGTAGACAGATTGTTCCGGTACTAGTCGGTCATCATATCTGACAGAGATCCACGCATTCATAAATATTGTTTTCTTCTAGGAAGGGTTATTAGATATTTATAACATAAACAGTTGAACAAAGGGAGAAAGAAGTCAGAGTAATGGCTGTTCATCCCAGGAGCCTACAATGCTGTTGTAGGTTGACACTGGCGTCGGTGGCGATGTTGTTAAGATATCTTCCCTGGGAATCCTGAAAATAGGTGTATTGTGTGTAGAATGTCGGGCACATCATGCTGAATGAGCCACATAATTAATACATAAGTAGAACCAGTCTCTCCTATTCAAGACATTGTATCTCCTTTCTGTTTTGGCAAATATCCCAAACCCTTGCTTCACTACGTTATTGACTGAGTGAGTTGGGTTTAACGCCGCTTTTAACAGTATTCCAGTTATATCACGGCGTGTCAGCTTAATGTGGGAGGAAAGCCCGAAGTGATGCAGGTCTCAGACGTTTACCACTTCGGTGAAACCCACGAGCACGGGTATGGTGCTGACAAACCTGACAAATCGGGGCGAACCGGGATTCGAACCCACAATCATAGGTTTCTGGCTTGCCCAAGGGACGCAACTCTGCACAGCGAATCGCGGCGCCTTCACTATTTGATAGTGATTCATGAACACATGATTGTCCTCAAATCGTGTTGATATATATGATATCAAAAGACACTTGAAATCCTCTATGGTTTTTGTTAATATTTGTAACAATGTGTTCGTGAGTTCACTATTTGATAGTGATTCATAAGCACATGCTCATGATATAATATGGAATCGCGCAATGGACTTCTGATTTCGGAATGGAATCTGTGGCTTTTAACTCTCAATTATTGCCGGAAGTTATTTTGAAATAATCATATGAACTCGTATGTTCGGTTCTGAATTAAATTTAGCGCGGTTAAATCTGACAAAAGATTACCGTCTAATTGACGCATTAATTGACAATTGATGACACTCTGCCTTGTGGCATCACCAAAATGGAACACGTGTGAAACTTAGGCTCCCCACGACCTAACAGTCCATGGAACGGTATGTGGTACTACTGCTGGATAAAGGCTGAGAGACTACAATTTAAACGGACTAAGCTCCTGCTAACCATGATCACGTGAGGTATTTGTTCACTAGAAACGCATTTGAAAAAATAAGGAAGGTAGTTAATTGACATTAATGATCTTTTTATCGCTGCAAAGACCTCCGGTGACATAAGGTGATTGTTTGTTCTATGAAGTTTACATCGAATTTCAATAACATCAGTTAATACCATTTCTGTATTTTCCTTCTTACTTTCATACTTATGAACACGCTATTAATTTAAATCTCTTCTATGATTCATTGAAATGAAAAACAAACAAATGTATATAATGAATCGGGACTGAATCAAACTACAGTAAACTACGGTTATAACGAACACGCTTATAACGAACTGACGGATATAACGAACTTGCTTTTTAGTCCCGACTATTTGCTGTAGGTATGCTGTATATATGCTTATAACGAACTACGGTTATAACGAACTAAAATTAGTGGTCCCTTTGAGTTCGTTATAACCGTAGTTTACTGTAATTCAGTACACACGTGCTTTCTGGTGGAAGTAAATAATCTAGCAATTGCGTAAACAGATTTCTTAATGAACTCTATTTGAAATAACTTCAAACAACTTCAAATCGACGGCCCGTGCGATATTAAATATTATTATCTTATTCATTTTGATTTGTTTGATTCAACTGTATCATTGACCTTACATTTCTCGCCATCATCCTATACCTTTGTCAGATCTGTCAACATCAATCGTTAATAGACCTATTAATCTACAAGAAATAGTCACTTCATGAATAGATAACTTGTTCCCTGTGTGCCGGAAGCTTGTTCCAATATCGACTATAGGGGTGGTATAGACATATGAACGCTATTCAAGAATCGCCTTTGTTAATCCCTGAGGAAACGGTCAAGCATATCCATATAGATTTCCTGTTCATGTACTATAATAATTAATACAAACAGGAGCATCCTCATCCTCACCTTTGAGACAGAACGGTTTCATCGTACAATTGATTGCTACATTGTTTTTGACTGTATCACATCACTGACCACTTGTATTGACGTTGTGTAAGTGTATATGAACCTAACGGTCAATACAACCAATATTGACACTCCGTTGTATTTACCAACACCATATATCAGGTAGATATATTTGTCCACGTATTATGGAATGCAAAAATAGATTGTATTTATTATTTGAGTTTTATGTTTGCGCTGAAAGTATAGACCATCATACGTGGGGTTACAGGTCCATATTGGCAGTCCGTCTCACTAAATACGCTTTTATTAATGAAAACCTTGACATTCCATGGCCTCCTGTCCCAGTAATGGACATCTTGTGTACAAAGAGTTCTTATAGTCTGTGTACCCCAAGGACCCTTCCTGTCCCTTTGTCTTTTCTCCAGAACGTTGTTGTTACGAAACGTTCTCCAAATACCTACGTTAAGAGCGTTGCTGATGAGGACGCCGTACTTGTAGAATCCTATTCATATTATTTTGCCCAAGATTACCAAATACACAATAATTCTGATCACAATTGAGTGAACAGAATTATAACGGACACTGACAGACGAAATTATGGCTGCTGTAAAATCGGATGGAGCGTGATCTAGACCTTCACACATGGCGGTGCTCTGGGGACTTCACAGTAATCCTAGTGATATACATCATTTCAACATTGACTGGCATAAAAATGTTTTTCAGTGAGTGTGGCTTCACACTTATGGAAAATCGAACCCGGTCTTTTAAGCGAGGAGTGAGCGCATTTACCACCATACAACGCCACCACCCTCCGTACATTTATATCGAATCCGAGATAGGAGTATGAAGAGACTGGCAGAGACAGGTTTATAAGGTTGTCATGTAAAATCATCTGTATTTGGGTACAGCCGCATAGGCATACATTATGTCTACTGTTCAAAAACACATAGCATTGATTCATTATAGTTTCTGAATGACAATGGCATACGAAACATAGAAAGAAATGAATTTACATATTTTCAAGTGTGTACGATGTATTTAACATGCAGCAAAATATTGTTACTTCATCTAAAAGATATAACAATTACATGTACATTCAATAATTACATACACTGAGTGAGTGAGTGAGTGAGTATGGTTTCACGCCGCTTTTAGCAATATTCCAGCAATATCACGGCGGGGGACACCAGACATGGCCTTCACACATTGTAACCATATCGGGAATCGAACCCGGGTCTTCGGCGTGGCGAGCGAACGCTTTAACCACAAGGCCACCCGCCCCCGACAAAGATAAATGCTGCTATACTTTGACTTTGTAGGTTGTCAATATCCCATCTGTCGTCTCCAATACTGAACACTATTGTAGTGGGGCGGTCGGGTAGCCTCTTGGTTAAAGCGTTCGCTCGTCAAGACCCGGGTTCGATTCCCGAAACGGGTACAATATGTGAAGCCCATTTGTGGTGTCACCCTCCGTGATATTGCTGGAATATTGCTAAAAGCGGCGTAAAACCACATTCACTTACTCACTCACTTACCCACTTACTATTATAGCGTAGCTTTTCATGTCAAAAGAATTGATTGAATACACATCTTGCATTGAACAAGATTGTCAATCACGACACGCTTCAATTCTAACTCAAGAATGTCCTATTTCTTTATGTATTTTCCTTCTATCGTTTAATATGATGACATCTTGTGCTTTGTATGCAAGACGTATACCACGCCAACTGACAGCGGTACCGAGATACTGTAACCTTCCAGTGACCTGGAAACCACTAAAATCCAAATAACATGCATTTGTTCGGCCCATCCTTGCACGAGGGCTACCCCTATCAAAAATTGAGTAGTATGGTATATGTGATACCTAAGTTGTTATATGATCCTGTCTGCTGTTCCAGGAAACCGGTGTCACCCCTCTTATGGTTGCTGTACGAGAGAACAAGCTTGTAATTGCTGAACGTCTCCTTGACCTAGGAGTCAACGTCAACGCTAAGGCCAAGGTGAGTTTCCTGTCAGGGTAACGCCAAAGAATGAATTCACAACCACGCGGAGCTTTAATGGCTTTGTGAATAATTAATCCACATCATTGTGAAAATGTAGCCCATCGATCGACTGATTTTTAAATAGTGGCTGGATGACAAAGCTGACTCGCTAAGACGTCTTCAATGCAACTAAAAGCATTTTAATTTCGTGAAGATAACCATCTGAGCATTCCAGAATGTGGGAGTAAACCCCTTGAAAACAGTTTTCCAGAGTTACATATCGGTGTTGAGTGTTTAACTAAGCCGTGGGATGAGTGGGTTCATTTTATTGACTTGAGGAAAAGACCTCACTCTGCCAGGAGAGTTATTGACACATGCAACTTACTTGTAGAGACGCTGCTCGATCAATAAAAATGCTGATTGATTTTCACTTATGCAACATTAATAATCGACCAAACCTCGAGTATGATTACTGGAAATCAAGCTTGCAAACGACAATTTCAAACGATATTTAGTTGTTTGTATGCGGTCTCTAGACGTTTGTATTTCATTATTAGGAGGTCAAACTAACGAGCTCGCGACGACAATGTGTGATTTGAAGTTTGTTGCAACACAACGACACCATCGACCGTTATCCTCCGCAAAAAGATGTGAATAACCAATTCCGGTATAATTTAGTATCGATTTTACTCATTTAGTATTGTGATTGCTTAGCTGCTGTGGAATAGGCTGATAGGTGATGTATAAAGGTGTGAACGGATGAAAGTGAAAATACGTGTTAAGGAGATGCTGACATTTAAAATAATATTTTGATTCAGTGAGTAAGATATTATACTGTATTTATCAATATTCCAGCAATAACACGGCTTGGGATACCAGAAATTGAACTTTGATTTAAACTAAAAAGAAAATAAACATATAGCTGATGTTCGCTCTTAAAACGGCTTTGAATTTTTTAACTCGAGATGAAGATAATACTTTGGCTGTTAAGTTGTATTGTTTATGAAAGGCTTTTGTCGCTTTTAGTTATTTGATGGTTTATAATTTTACCTATTTTTTTTTGTCTCACCGGAATTCTCTCAAGTCAAAAGAATTAGTCAATGATGCGACGTCTTTCGAATGTATGGATGTATCAGTTGAGACATGTATGGTAGTTGCGTATAAATGTGTCCAGAGGAGATTGTGGGTGTACTGTTTCCGTAGCGTTACCAATTACAAATTTCTATATATAAAGTATATACGTGTCCATGTAAATTAGACTGGACCAAAGAAGTCTAATTGGATCAAATCCGAAATTAAATTGGCGAACTATTTGACATTGTTATCCTATAACTTATAACATAATAGTATCACTTATTCGTGCGTGTACCTGCCTATTGAAAAGTGAAGACGGAGTAAAAAATATAATGTGACAGGAAATAATCTCAGATATTAGTAAACTAGTGTCCAAAAGAAACGATACCACCTGTTTGCAACGACATAAAAGAAAAACTAAACAATGCAGAAGTTTAGGATTGGTGTTATGCTTTTGACATCTGTACAAAAATTTCATTTCAATAAAATCTGTACAACCAATATGACAAGCCTTTAAAGATGGGTGGGGTCGAAAAATGAACATTTCGTTAGAGCACTGATCACAGAAACAACGGGAAATGTCACACCACACGTCTCAAAGTCATGTCAGTAGCGGGTATGTCCACCGTGAGCATCAATACATGCCAGAACACGCCTACGGACTGATGACGTCAAACGTCTGATGACGTTGGGAGTGATGCGTTGCCATTCCTCGAGGAGACATCGTTCCAAGTCCTGGACGTTGACTGGAGGCACCGGCGACGTCGGATTTGCCGATCGAGGTGGTCCCATAAGTGCTCGATGGGATTCATGTCCGGTGAACATGCGGGCCATGGCAAAACCTGTACGTTGGCGTTGGCAAGGAAGTTCTGTGTCAATCTTGCTGTGTGTGGCCTTGCATTGTCATGTTGGAAAAGGAGTCCACGAGGCTGTTGCTGAATAAAGGGCACCACAACAGGTCGTAGGATGTCATCAAGATAACGCTGTGCATTCAGGTTTCCACGAATTACGACAAGCATCGTTTTGACGTCACCACATATGCCACCCCAAACCATTAACCCTCCACCTCAAAACGGCCGGACCTGTTGGATACAGTTAGGCGCCAAACGTTCACCAAATCGTCGGTATACAAGCTGCCGTCCATCGTTTCTGAAGATGAGGAATCTGCTCTCATCAGAGAACATAACACGTGCCCAGTCCCGCCGTTGCCAACGTCGAACTCGCCTGGCCCAGATCAGTCTGTTGTTCCGGTGTCGAGGCGTCAGGAGCGGTCCGCGGTAGGGATGACGTGGCCGGATACCATACTGCCGTAGTCTCCTGTAGACGGTCTGTCGACTGATCCTGTGTCCCAGTGCTGTAGCCGCCGTGGACGTCGCTGTTACGGTGCGGTTCCTCAGGTGTAATACCCGGATGTAACGATCTTCACGGGGCGTGGTTACTCGTGGTCTTCCACTCCTGGGCCTGTCTGACGTCTGACCTGTCTGACGTAACCGCTGCATCAACCTGGTGATAGTGATGCGTGCGCAGCCCAACCTTCTGGCGACGTCGACGTGTGACGCTCCTTGTTGGACCATTCCAACGGCTCTCTCTCTCTCGATGGCTGTCAAACGTGGCATATCTTGTGTTCTTTTTGTTGCTGTGATATCAACGTGTCTGATCAGCCGTTTTATTCAGTTTTTATGCACGTGCAGAACATGCTAGAGAGGGAAATGTCACTTTCACGAAATTTACGTTTTTTCCCGGAAGTGATCACGTGTTCCCGGTATTTTTTATCGACTATGCTGTGTTTGGGATGTGCAATACGAATTGGCTTTTTTTCATACTAGACAATTCACTTAGTAAAAAACAATTTTGAAAATAAGTTGGTATCGTTTCTTTTGGACAATAGTTTATTTCACAGAAGAAAGAAAACGGTATGAACCAGAAGAATATTTAATAAGGCCAAACATTTTAATATGTGTAGCACTACTAATTGTACCCTCCCGCCTTTACTACAGGGTAACATACGTATTGTATGTAAATGGATCACATAAAACAACACCAACACATGTCGAATACCTGTTTGTGTCGACCATCTAACGCATGAAAGTAATTCCCAATCAAGCTTCTAAATCACGCCGAATACATCTAACAATTTACAATGAAGGTAATTACGTTCACACTGCTTGAAATGTAAACTTATTTCCCTGGAAAAGTGGCTAATTGATTCTTTATTCAGTTTTGTTATCTGAAAATATTTGTACATTATTGTGCGCACTACAGTGGAACTGGTGCGACATAAACTCCTTTGGGCAGCAGAAATAGCGCTGAGCTCGGCGTTCGTGCCGACATCATTCTAGCGTCGGTTGAGGCTTGCATATCTGTTAATTTCTCATTGTCCCGTGTTTGCCCGTATATTAGCCTCTGTTTGAGTTTCCTGCATCTCCGTTACCTGCACTTCAACAATCAATGCGCTGATTTTCTGTGCAATATCCATCTCCACATACACAAATGTCTTTGTTGAGAGTTCTGAGCGTGTCGCATGAAAGGTTCATGATACCCAGGCCCGTTCAATACACCCCAGTGGCTATCAAGCACATACAAATTTACTGGAATTACGATTTTGTTTAAATAAGTCGACATTTACGTCTCACAAAGAATATTTCCCTCAAGTTAATATTTGTGCAAGCAAATATAGATTTTATGTTTTTACAGAGACAGTTTTCACAATTTACCCTTATCCACATTTGAGCGATTTTTTAAATAAAATCAATTATGCTCCATTAAAGAAGTCTAAAATGAAAGCATTCAATGTGTTGAGTGATGTTGATATGCATCATGATAGTGGCGTAACTCGTCATGGCGAGAGAAACTGTATTACAATGCCAAAAGATTATGAAAGCACTTCCTCCTATGTGCATATATAAGCATCATTATACAAGCATGTTGATATACATGAAACCATTGTATCGTCGGGGCCCAGTCGTCTAAGCGGTGTCGATCGTCGCGCTGAAGACCCGGGTTCGCTTCCCCACGTGGGTAAAATGTGTGAAGCAAGCCCAGGTCTGGTGTTCCCCGCAGATGATAGTGCTGTAATATGGCAAGAAATGACGTAGAACACCATTCATTCATTCTTGAAGTCAACAATTGTGTGAATTTATTTTCATTTCTCTTTTTTTCATTCAGAAAATCCAGAACAGCTTAAACCTTTAATTGACTGTAATAATAGTCAGTTGCGTGACCTTCACATGATGATTGGCAGCCAACATCTTTTATTGTTATTTGAAAATAAGCTGCTGAATTTGTGAGTTAGCATCAAAATGGGTTTTACTTTTTAAGGGCATGAAATAACTTTTAAAAGAAAGGAAACACAATATTTACATTTCCAAGAATATCTAAGGTCATACGGATCAAAGAGTTGAGTATGGGTTTTCTGTCTTTTTAGCAAAACATAAGCTGCTCTAGAAAGTGCTGGTAAACAAGAATTTGTCATCAGGTTTAATCAAGTCAATTGACATGTTGGATGATCTGATGAGTTGCTGGTCCAAACATTATTTGGCTTCACCTTTCACAGAATACAATTCTACGTCCCGAGGCGATGACTGGAAGCTAATCCTTCTCAGTCAATAATCCCGGAATATTAAATGGTCGGTGTCTTAAATCTTTGTCGGAATCTTACCTTTCGCCATGGCAACAGTGTTACAGCTTAAACCGTTGAAACTTTCAAAAAAAGAAATGTTATTTTAAAAAGCTACTTGTTAGATATTTGTGAATAAATCCGATATTTATTCAGAAAATATTGACGCTGGAAGCGTTTCCTTTCATTCTCTTTTTTAAAATTAATAACCTCTGATATATAAATTATATATCAGATATACAGCATCCAGCTATCTGATTGGCTATTCGCCGTCTGAAAAACAATACAAGCCAGTAGGCTGGCCTGTACTTACTTCATGACGTTAAAA